TGCTTCTTTTCTTGCACACTCACCTATGCCCACCTTGAACTATAGCCCCTTATAGTGCCAGGTGTCACCTTCCATGAATGGAAGTAGCCTAAGTGATGTGATTTCTGAGAGATGTACCCCAATCCCCATATACTTTAATCATTGTTATTGTCTCTATTCAGCTTAAGGCTTTGTGGTTTACAGAATTCTCCTAGAAGTAACATTTTTAGCTCTTAATTAGTAATATCTTATCTTGAATGGAACCTCAAAATGCAAGCTAGCAAGGAGGATGAAGGAAAGTAGCATGAAAATACTGGTTGGAGAAGGACAGGTTGTGTTGGGTTGGGGTAGTGTAGTGTCCAGAGGGGGGTGGGGAAATAGGGGGAACCCAAGACCACCTTTTTCTTACTTCACACTTTGACTGTGACTAACTAGACTAAGAATACAAAGATGGCAAGATGGACAGGCAGGATGAGGAAAGAATTCTAGTGGGAAACCTAAGAAATAATTAGGGGAGAGATTGGCCCATTTTGCCAAGCCTTCTGCACCTGCCATTTCCACTGGGGTGGTTCTGGGGTCACAGGCTTCTTGAGACAGCCAGTTGTCACATCTTCCTTTCTCCTCTTCCAGGCCTCAGTGCATTGTCCTAACAGGGGAACCCATGACAAGACCTGCTCTCCTGGACATATCTCACGCTTTTACCAAGAACAGTGGCCTTTGCATCTGCTGTGAAGTCTTTGTGGTAAGAGCCACTTCATCCAAGGAAAGTGCTTTTTCCTTCCTACTCACCTTGGGTTATTCTAGGTGTATAAAGAAGGTACATGCAGTCATAGGAAAATAGCAAAACAGTTTGAACAAGAGCCCTCTTCCTTTATTCATTGGGCAAGGACTAACAAGGGCCAATGATCCTGAATTAAAACAGGTAGATGACATGTTTCAGATTTCACAGGAGACCCACTGAAAGCGATAAATTTTTCCAAATGATGCACTTTATGTCAAGAAAGACAACTGGTGCAGAAATAAAATGAAGGCATTTGGAGTGATAACTGTCTGCAGAAATATAAAAGAATGGAATGAGCCTAATATGATATATAATAGAGTGCTATTATATAGATTAACTGATGAGGAGAGAACCAGACATATGGCTTTAAATGACAGCACATAGAATTTAGATTAAATATTTGGATAAACTTGACGACACTACAAATATCTAGGAAATTAAACCAAGTTTTCTATGCCTTCGATAAACATTCAGAGCTGAATGAATTGTTCAGGAAGTATATGATAGACTAATAGTAACTGTTGGTGGTTTTCCCAAGAGGTATTCAAAGTAGGTGCTGAAATTTTAACCACAATTATTGACTAATTTCTCAAATGTGGAGAAAGCATTAAAATTACAGTAAAATAAGACTAAGTCCTCCAAACTAGACTACCTCTACTCATATTCCCATCACACACTCTCTCTCTCTCCCTCTCATACACACGCACACACGCACCACTCAAAATCCTCAGTGATCAATGTATTTTTATAGTACTTAAGTACTTACCTATTCTTCAAATCATTTTTCTACAGTTTTTCTTATTCTATCCATACAACAGCCTAGTGAGGCAGGAAAGAAAAAAGCCCTGTTCTCATTTTACAGGCTGGGAAAGTGAGATTCAGGAAAATTAAATTGTTGTGCTGGATCACGTGACAGGAAAGTGGCAGAGCCAGGATGTCAGCCCAGGTCCCCTGAGTGTACTCTGTGTTACACAGTGAGGAGAAAGCCTCAGCAGCCTTGTCTCTGTGGGAGTACTGTTAGAATCGGGTACCACTACTTGTGTTTCTAATACCTGCCAAGGAATAGGGCTGTCCAGTTGCATGACCCTGCAGCCGGTCAACTCTGCCATGATGCAGGGGGTTAATTTACCACTTCACGACCAGCACTTAAGCATCTTTTTACCCCTGGCAGTGTTCTAAATGCTATATGAAGCAAGTTGGCCATATTCTCTTTCTTCTCAGTGCTTATATGACAGTAACTCAAACAATATAACTCAATGCAATTACCCGGTAGGGGGTGAAGAGAGTCCTACAGAACACATAAGATTGACAGGTTAAGTAATGACCAACTGTGGCACCAGAGGATTTTTAAAAATCTTATCAAGCACCTTGCTCTCATATTATCAACTTTGGTGCCCTGAATTAGTGGATTTCATTTTGGCCAATATAATATAGGAGCCAGTTTTGATGGAATAAGCAGTTTGGGGTGTTTTTCTTCTCTAGCAATTTAGAGAAAACCTAGTTTAGCAGGCAATAAAATATCTTTGGGACAGGAGAAATGAACTGGAAGTATAAATAGTCATATATTGGCAAAGGAGAAAAGGTCTTTTACAGAGACAAGAGATATTGCTTTTACTTAACCCTTTGCTGTTTTTTTTTTTTTTTTCCTTTTTGTCTTTTTTCGTGTCCGGCAACGGATCGCAACCCTCAGTGTAGCGCCCATACCAGACTGAGACCGGCAACGGGATCGCAACCCTCGGTGTCGTTCCCACACCTCGCTCAGCCAA